ATTATTACACTTGTAGTTGTTATATTTTTATCCAAAATATTTTCTCATTTCGTACTTGTTTTTCTATAGATTAAAAAATAAAATTATATTATAGTGTAAGTAAAATAATATTAGTTTTAATTTAAGAATATTTATTGATAACTACATTCATGTGAAGATAACTTTGCATTTCCTGTAATAATGATATTATATTTATATATACGGTATGTGCATCAAGTATGGCTCTTGAGGGTTCTCGTATTGGGTCTTTCGTGGTTTTCAATTGGTTTTCGTCATCATGCACTCTAATAGATTGTAAAAATATTTAGCGGCGGCTAATTGCGGGTTATTTTTTTTTTTCAAATACAATATTATTATCATATATTTATTGTGCTCAAATATATGGCCGGAAATTTTAGATCAATCCGTCTTAAATGTTACGTAATAACAACGTACCTACCTATCGTATTATATTTACTACAACACGGCACATTATATACGATTAAAAAACATTATTTTTTCCCGGACATAATGCAATTTCCACGCCCGTGCACATTACACCCGAACAATTTTCCGCCATAATAGAACCACCTGTCAATGTTTTAATTTCTTGTGCGTAAGTAATTTTTCCGACGAGTAATTTTTCACGATTCTCTCTCGCGACTCTTTCCTACTCTCTGGCTCGGCGATGCCACCACCGGTGCCCGCATCTGCAACTATGCCAGGATAAGAAAATCGTTATTGATGGAAATTTTGCCCCGCAGGACCCAAACGAGATGCAACAGACAAGCCATAAATTACCTACCGAAAAATAATAATAATAAGGATGTGATATGAAAAAAAAAWAWATATATATATATACAAAATCCACTGGTTAAAAATTGTTCTGTTGACACTTATTGTTTTTATTTTTTAAAATATATAATATGTGCACGCATATATATATATATATATTTATTTACTTAAGATCGATTATTAGATATAATATAATATTATGTATGTATATATATATATATGCACGCGTGTATGTATGTATATGTATGTTTAAATTAAGTATAAGGTACTAAATAGATTTTTCTTTTCTCGATTTACATAGATTTCATCGTTTTACACCAAAAGGCAGATGTCTATACATTTTTATCATTTTGCACCACGCCTGAAAAAGTAATATATAAATACCGTCGTCTTATGTTTGCATARCTCGTTGAAAATCRGAGTAATATTTCACTCAGAATTCCTGTATACACTTATTACATGTGAACTTTGGACCAGGAATTTCACGTGTTGAATAAAATAATATACTT